GCATTCATTTTCTCCACAGGCATATTTAAAATATTCTTTAATAAAGACCTTTAAGCCCTGAACTAAACCAACCAGCTCTGAAGTGAATCATGACATTACAAACTTTTTTTCTTAATTTTTCTGATATTTCTTGCTATAAAACAAAGAGCTTGTGTTATACTTCATATCTCATGAATTAATATAATGCATAATATTATATATGCAGTATAAGGATATATATATATATATATATATATAATATAAATATAATACATACATATATACATGTATATATATAATATAAAATTATGCATAAAAAATACATTATATTATATTTATTTAGTTATTATTAAATAATTTATAATTTATTATTATACGTACTAGTATTTATTTTATAATTTTTTTTTAAATATAAATGAAAAATAAATAGAAAATAGAAAAATAAATCAATCATTCAGATATATATAAATATAGTATTAGTAAATAAATTAAATAGTTGGAGAGAATTTGTGTATGCATGCAATTTATTTAAATATTTACTTATTACAGTAATGAGTATTGGATAGAAATAGAGTGCTTACAGGTAATTGTCATGAAAATAATGTCACAATGCAAAAAAAACAAAAAATTCTTAATTTGTCTTTAAAGGATGCTTCATCTTCTGTAAGCACAATAAAATGTCCTTAAAAGATTTTTTTACATGTTCTTGACAGGTTAAACGAGATTTACCATGTTTGTTCTTCCTGAAGTTTGTTGCAATTTGTCTGCTAAACCTCGCTGAGGTCTGGATGAAAGACCCACGCCGGATAAAAGCCCATTAATGGCTGCGTCTCGCTTTCATCTCATCTGGGAATCGCATGCAGCACACCGGGGACTCATTATGTTTCCATTTGGTCAATATATATATATATATTTCTCTCTTTCTGTGCAAAAACAGGCCAGCATGCAGATGGTTTTGATGTGCCAGGCAGGGACTTTGTGAGAGGCTTATGCAGTTTTAAGATAGATGTATCACAGTGAGGAGCAATTCATCAAAGTGTCAGACATGGGAATGTGTTCTCTCATTTGCTGGAAATACTCCAAATGTTTCTGTAATGGCTTTATTTGCTCATCATTTAAGCTGTCTGAGACATTTACATCACGTGTTTTCTGAGATCTTAATAAAGGCCTGCCGTCTCTGTGTGTGAGGCGTGATCTTAGTCGTTTTTGCATGTAATTTGTGATTGTTGCACACAGATCGCATACGGACAGATTGCAAATCATAATTCCGTAGATTTATAAGCTCTCCAAATGTTTGTGAATCCTTTTATTAGTACCATCTGGATTTCATGTCTGCACTTTATATGCAAATACAAGTGTGTGTGTGTGTGTGTATGTGCAGTATTATATATTTCATAGTGTCCGGGCTTTAACATCACCATGCTGCTTCCTCATCAGTATCTGATTCATTTGAACCGCTGGCCTTGTTGTGCTGTTCATCTGCTTTGTGGAGTAACCAGATGTGATTGATTGGGTTAATTTTCACTTGTAAGGTGGGATCCGGTTATTTACTCCCTCAAGCTTCACTTCTCATGTTCATCCAGCTGTTTGCAAGTGGTTGTTGATTAAGTAGCTTTAAGCACCGGTAATGAAAGAGGATCACTCTTACATTTATTAATATGGAAGATGCTTTTACCCACAGTGACTTAAAGTACATATCTATATATATATATATACAGTGGGTACGGAAAGTATTCAGACCCCCTTCAATTTTTCACTCTTTGTTATATTGCAGCCATTTGCTAA